ACTAGTAGTCGTACTGGTAGTCGTAGAAGTAATCGTAGTAGTAATCGTAGTAGGTGTTGTCGCAGTAGTCGTGGTCGTAGTAGCAGTTGTCGCCGTAATCGTGGGATAGTCGTAGCAGTCGCAGTGATAGTGCTAGCCGTAGTAGTCGCAAGAGGAATTGTAGTAGTAGACGATGTCGTAGTTGTCGTAGTCGCAGTAGTAGGAAGGGTGGCAGCCGTAGTAGTAGTAGTAGTAGAAGTAGTAACAGTAGTCGTAGTAGTAGTAGTAGTAGTAGTAGTAGTAGTAGCAGGAGTAGTCGTAATCTTAGTAGTCGTGCTAGAAGAAATAAAAGTAGCAGTGGTAGTAGTAGTGGCGATGGCAATAATAGTGTTCGTAATCGTTAGCATCACCGTGCAGTCGTGGTCGTAGTTGTGGGGGTCGGGGTCATAGAACCAATCTTAACAAAACTAGTACTCGTGATCGTGGCAATCGTGATACGATTTATAATGGTAGAGACCGTGACATCAGTCGTAAGCGTAGGTAGTAGTACGAGTAGTAATAATAGGACTAGTAATAGTGATACTAGAAATAGTAGTGCTAGCCGAAGTAATAGTACTAGTCGCCGTAGTGGCGGTAGTAAGCGTGAAATTGGTGGTGATACTGGTGGTAGTAGACGTTGTCGTAATAGTACTAATCATAGTAGTAGTACTGGGGTTCGTATTATGAATAAGAATGGTACAAATAACCGTCGTAATGACAGCTGTAGTAGTAGTAGTAGTAGTAGTAATAATAGTAGTAGTAGTAATAATAATAGTACCAGTAGTAGTACAAGTAGTAGAAGAAGAACGGATACAAGCAACAATACCTGTGGTCGTGGTACGAGTAGTCGAAATAGTAAGTGGGGTCCTAGTAGAAGCGGTGGTGGCAGTAGTCGTAGAAGCAGTCGTGGTAGTAGTAGTAGTAGTAATAGTAATAGTGGTAGCAGTAGTGGTGGTAGTAGTGATAGTCGTCATAGGCATAGAATGGATAATAATGGTGGTTGCAATCGCACTCGCAGTCGAATTCGACAAAACAATGTTTGTTAGTCCTAGTAGATGTCGTACCAGTGGTAGCGTGTCGGAGTAGTGGTGGTAGTAGAGGAGTAGAAGTGGCGGTAGTAGTAGTAGTAGTAGTAGTAGTCGTAGTAGTAGTAGTACTAGTAGTACTAGTAGTAGTAGTGGTGGGAGTATCGATAATAGTAGGTGTCATACTAGTAGTAGTAGTAGTAGTAGTAGTCGAAGAAGTAGTAGTAGTAGTAGTAGTAGTAGTAGTCGTAGCCGTAGCCGTAGTCGTAGTAATAGTAGCAGTCGTAGTAATACTCCTAGCGCTCGTAGTAATCGTGGTAGTAGTAGTCGTAGTAGTAGTAGTAGTAGTAGTAGTAGTAGTAGTAGTAGTAGTAATGGTAGTAGTAGGAGTAGTAGGAGTAGTAGTAGTAGTAGTAGTAGTAGTAGTAGTAGTGGTGGTGGTAGTAGTAGTAGTAGTAGTAGTCGTAGTAGTAGTAGTAGTAGTAGTAGTAGTAGTAGTAGTAGTAGTAGTAGTAATCGTGCATAGTAGTAGTCGTAGGAGTAGTAGTAGAATTAGTAGTAGTAGTAGTCGTCGTCGTAGTGGTCGTTGTAATCGTCGTCGTCGTCGCAGTAGTAGCAGTACCGATAATATGCATAGCATTCGGCTGTCAGCTCCAGCTTCGCATCCCGCACCCTGCGTAGCAACGCCAGAACAGTGCCACAGCTCGCGATTCTCGCGCGGGCTGGTCGAAGCGCTGCAGCTCATGGCAGGTGGCGATGCAGGGGGAGACGGGGGGGGGAAGAGAGAGGGAGGTCGAGAGAAGGAGGAGGACAAGGGGAGGGAGCACGACGAAGGGATAAGGTCTGGTGTTTGGGGTTTGGGTTGGGGATTTGGAATTTGGCGTTCTGGGCATTGGTGTTTGGTGTTTGGGATCTTGGGGTCTGGGATGTGGAATTCGGGAATTTGGGGTTTGGGGCCCGGTGTTTGGGGATTTGGGGTTCGGGGGCACGGCTGTCAGGGGGGGGTCGGGGTCTTGGTCGCGCGCGCTCCGACTTTGCTCTCCCGCCCTGAACCACCCCACAATAAAGCCTGGGCTTCAACCTCCAAGCTCCCTATCAGAGGGGGGCTTTCGATTTAAGCGCGCACTCGGAGCAGCTGAAGCGAGCATGCCGACGCGGCGGTTGCACTGCGCTTCTGTGTCAGCACGCGCAGCAAGCGGCTGGCGCAGGCGCGTTAGCTCGCCTCGTCGACTGGGCAGCCGCCTGCAAGTTCGGCGTTGAGCTTCGCCGCTGGGCTGCCGCTGGCGCACCAGTCCCGTGGGTTGCCGCTGCCGCCTTCGGCTCGGAGCTCCGGCGCTTGGCTGCGGCATCCCCATGGGCTGCCGCACTTGCACACGGCGTGGAGCTGCGGCGCTGGGCTTCCGCTGGCGCGGCAGATCCATGGGTTCCGGTGGCCCTTCGGCGTGTAGCTGCGCCGTGGAGCTCCTCGCTTACGGCGCGATGCGCATGGCAGTCGCATTCGCCCTCGGCGTTGGGTCTCGCCGTTGGGTTCGCCCCCGCGGAAGCGATTCATTGGTAGACGCAGCCGCCGTGGTCGCGAACTTCGAACGGCTGGAGGGGAAGCGCGGGGGGGTTGGGGCTGGCACCCCCCCGCTGCGATGCTTGCGTATGGCTGCGACGGCACCTGCATGGCGGGGCCCCTGGGAGGACCCTGGGGAGAGCACCGGGGTCCCCGAGAGAACTGGGCGCGCCCTCCCTGGCCCTATAATATGCATTGAGGGCGCCTTGGGAACCCTGGGAGCGCCCGGGAGGGCCCTGGGAAGGCATTGGGATGCCTTGAAATCGCTGGGGGGCGCCCTGGGAGGGCCCCCGCAGCGCCCTGGGCGCACCCTGGGAGCCCGAAGCGCCACTGGGAAGGCCCTGGGATGCGCCGGAAGCGCCCGGGAGTGCCCTGGGAGCGCCCTTGGGAGGGGATGGAAGCGCCCTGGAAGCCTTGGGAGCGTCAAGGGTGGCCCTGGGAAGCCATGGAAGCGCCCAGGAGCGCTCCAAGAAAGCCCCAGGGGCAGCCGGGACCGTGTTCTCACGTGCTGGGCACCTCCACGGGATGAGAAGTTCGTGGGGTACGTTGTTGCTGCGGCCGTAAGGGTTCTATTCATTAGATTGAACAGCCTGACGGGTGCATGCGCGCACGGGGCGAATTTCTCCTCAGCGCTGCGCGTTTCGCCAGTGCCACATACGTGGAATTGGGCAGGCTCGCTGAGCGCTCGGCCAGGCGCCACGGGCTTCGATGTTGCACAGCCGTGCCTTACAGTTTGAGGTTTGGGGTTTGGTGGTTTGGGCTTGAAGTTTTGAGATTGGTTTTGGAATTTGTGGTTTCGGGTTTGGTGTTTGGTGTTTGGGTGTTGGGGTTTGGCGCCTGGGGCTAAGTTTTGGAAAGGGTGCTTCCCATTGGGGTCTACATCAAAAAAACGCTTTCGCAGATTGACTTTTTCTTGGGAGGAGGCCGAGATCCTCTGGCGTCGTGAAGAAGACACGACGGGCCGATTCTGCCGTTTTCGACCGGGACCGTCAAAAACAACCCGAAATGAAAAACTGGCCCTGGGGAAAGAGTCGTGACTCCTGATGATCCCGTATTTAATACAGAAATGCATCGTGTCTCTGGGTTTCTGTTGCCAGCGCGGAAGTGCGAAAGGGGAGGAGGGAGGAGGAGGAAAGAGGAGACGGATCCTCGTCGCGCGGGTACTCCTCCGAAGCTTTCGGGTCGAACAGGTAGTCGCCGGTCACGAGCTCGAAAATCATACACGCGAGCGACCAGATGTCTGCGGATGTGTCGTACCCAGCGTTGATGATCGTCTCTGGTGAACGGTACTGCCGAGTCTGGATGTCATCCGAGAAGTGCCTGGGATTCGTAATTCGAATCGTAACCAATCCCACGTTCACATCCCTTCGGGTGTAAAATCGTCGACACACAGGTGTCTACTCAAATGCAGCTTTGGGTTCGATGTGGCTTCGGACTCGCATTAGGCATATTGTTTGTTCCCTCACGATTTAGCGTATCTTCATGTGTCGTTTCCCCTGCATTTGCCATGTTCAACTGTGTTATAGACGAGATGGGTTGAGGAGCACTCCCAATTCTTTCAGAAACAGAACGCAACCCCTGAGCAAGTTCTCGGGCATCCGTCGGCAGTGTAAACCCAATCGAGCTACCACTACACTCGTGCAGCAACGCAGGTACCAAGGAGGACGGAAGGGGGCGAAGGCGGACCAAAAAAGGCGGGAAAGGCTGATACGAAGATGTCCCGATTCGTATCATGTATCGGGTCCGCGACAAACGTCGGTCAACCCTGCACGTGCGACAACTCAGAGACGCCCGTGGACGGCAGCAGCCAAGGCACACCTCCTCCTCCTCCTGCTCTTTATCCTCGTTGTCTGTCTTCTTCTCCTCTTCCTCCTCCTCCTCCTCCTCCTCCTCCTCCTCCTCCTCCTCCATGTCCTCTTCCTACGGATCCATAGCGCCGCCCTGCGGTCAGGAGCATAGAACAGACTCCAGAATTTTCGGAAGACCATCCGTAGCAAACACCCTTGCTGCCCCCCAGCGTGCGCCCGCGACCGCGCGAGTCTGCCCAGGCGGACCCATGTTCTGTTGTGCCCGTCGGTGCCTCCGCGGTCACTGGCTCTACCCCCTACCCCTATCCCGACCTCTGCCCCTCATGACGCGAACGTGAACGCGACCTCTGCGATGGCTCCGACAGGATCTTCTACTAGCAGGCGACGCCTCCCGCCCCACAATCCCCGAGCTCCGCCCGAACAGTGTGGTCGCTCAGGACAACAAAAAAAGGGAACCGCTGGGATACATCCCGAAGGGGCTATTCGGACAAACCACTTTTCGAGGATGGGCGCCACACCCAGCGTACATACCGGGTGTGTGTCCCAAGTGTCTGGTCCATTCGAAAAAACCGACGAAGCCTGGGATAGGATTCGACATATCCCTTGTCATCTTCGTCGGCACGACGGCAACACATTCCGAGGGGAAAAGGACCCAAACGCGGGGGGGTTCTCTCTCCTTGGCCGAACTGCTCCTTCTGGGTCGCCTTTGATTATGGCTCCAGGGCTTGGGCAGGACATTTGGGAGGCCGACAACAAGGAACAAGCGGCCCTAAACCTCAGAGCCCCTACCTCCCCATCCTCCTCCGCCGCTTCCTCCTCCTCCCCCACCACTTTCTGTTCCTCCTCCTCCTCGTCCTCCTCCGTGTTCTCTTCCTCCACGTCCTCGTCCATTCCTTCCCAGTATGGACGCACCCCGAGGCCTGTTTTTTTTGTGCGGGCCGGGCGTTTTGCCTGAGACTTCCTCGCCCCTTATGACTCCGAAGCTTGAAAAATGGCAACAGCTTCACAGATGGAGGGCGGACCGTTTTCAACATGTGGCTCTCGCCTCAGCGCCGCGCACATTCGCTTCTAAACGCTGCAAAGATTGAGGGCGGGTCGTTTTCAACGTGGCTTTCGCCTTAGCGCCGCGCGCACTCGTCTTAATAATTTGCAAGAACTTCGCGGATCGAGGGCGGGTCGTTTTGACAGCGTGGCTTTCGCCTCGGCGCCGCGCACATTTGATTCAAACACTTGCCAGGGCTTCACGTATCGAAGGCGGTCCCTTTTTCAAAATGTGGTGTTCGCCATCGCGCAGCGCACATTCGTTTCATGCAAGAATTCCACAGGTTCCCATTGCAACCGTTATGTTGGTTCGCAGTGTTGCGTCCAAACAATGGCGCTCTGGCACCATCGTCAAGACGCAGCAGTCAGGTTGATACGTGGCGTTGAAATCCCGAAACCAATGTTTTGGCATGCTCCAGGATCTTCAAACGGGTTGTCTTCCAACGAAGCAGCTTCCTCAATGGAAAAAGCCGCTGTAGGCGACCATGAAGAGGGAGTTTGGAGCGAGAGTTAGTTCCAATATCGTTGGCGACTCTTGGGTTTGCACTGGTCCTCCCCCTTCCCCTCCTCCTCCTCCTCCTCCTCCTCCTCCTCCTCCTCCTCCTCCTCCTCCTGCAAGTCCCTAGCTACACTGCGTTTCCGCCTGAAGCCTGCACGTTGGTCAGCTCCGCCCCTTGGACAGCTTCTCCGCTCGAGCTCGCTCTGGGTCGCCAGTCTCTGGATCGCCTAGTCAAATTGATCTGGGAGGCAAGCAACATGAACCCCTTCCCTCATTCACTCACCACATCAGGTAATACACCGCGATTCACATCGATTCCACCTTCTAGGTTGCCCGATGCACTTTCGGCCCGAAGTTGGCCGCGCGAACGCTCTAGCTGGCCGCACCATCGGCCTCCGCGTTCGTCATGGCCAGACCGACCCGAACCAGCAGGACTGCGCCCACTTCCGTAGTGACGGCCAAAACGATACCCTCAACCAGTTCTTTGCGCTCGATGCTGCCGGTGGGCGCAGCGACCGGTTCGATAAGCGTGAAGCTCCCTTCTCCTCCTTGACCACGCTCGGCTGAGCGGCGCCCTTGCCCTCTGTCCCCCCACGGCGGCAAAATTGCGCACGTCTCGTAGTAGCTTGCACCCCTCTGGACATTCCGCCTAGACCATCGGGGAATTCACCATCGCACCGCACTGCGCCTCGAGCCCGGCGAGCTGAACACATGAGCTGATTGTAGTTCGTACTGTTGTGGTATATCGAAAACACTTTATTTCCACGGTCGCGGCTAGCGAGGCCGCCATCAAGTACCATAGTCGGCATGGTCACCGCCATCTTCCTGGGCGAGGCCACGCACTGGGCGTTGCATAGGAAAGCGGCATTCGCTGTCGCCAGAAAACTCTGGAAAACTGCGCAACCCCCCAGGACTCAGGACCCCCTTTGGCATTCACGCCGACCCTCTGCCGCTTTGCACGCGAGATGCAGTGCGCTGGGGCCCCCCTCCTGGACCCCGCTTGGTTTAAAAACCATTCCCTACGGACATGGCGACATTCGCGCTCCTCGGCCACCGAAATCAACGTGGGCGACTCGTGAGCCAGTTGATGCACTCCAAAGTGTTTCACGCTCTGAGAAGATCATGTGCATCGGCCTTTCTTTCGCTAGAGCGTCGGTGAGAATCAGCGATGTGGGGCCCCGGCAGAGGCGCCCCTTGACCCCGTGGATGGCTGGCCGAGAAGTCACCACTTCCACGGTGCACCTGCGGTCTTCGAGAGCTCTTGGGGGTCCGATCTTAGCGATGTGGCCTTCGGCGGCCTTAGCTTCGCACATGGCGATCGCCTTGAATGCCCGGATGCACTCGCACTGGTTGTCCAAGGTAGGGCGTGGAAGTATAGATCCGGCACGGAAGCCATCGTCCACGCCACGTGCCGAATACCGTCTGCAAGTGCCGGGGCCCCCCTACCCAAAGACGACCGCATGGCTCCGCCGAGCCAGTAGCTTCGCTAAACACGGGGGTTCCACGGCGAAGCGGCGCCTCGCAGCGCCCTAGAGTCTGTCACGCTGCGCACGTAGCCCCCCTGGGTCTCCCCTGGCGCGGTCGGCCTGGATCGCCGCGCGAATGTTCCAAAGTGGGACAGGAAAGATATGGGTGGTCAAGTCCTTGCGCTGGCGACCCCGACGCACCAGCATGCTAGCATCCTGCGTCTCGTTCGCCGTTGGACGTGGCATGAGCTGCTGGTGGCAGGTCGCCTGGCGCGACAGATCTGACATGGACTGACCTGCCAGGCATTTGTCAGCTAGGTTCATTGAAACCAGTGCGCAGATCTCGCCTGGAAGTGCCTTGCCGTCATTGGTTGCCAATCGTTTAAAGTTCACGCGCTTCGTCTCCCCAGTTTTTCTTTGAGACTGCACAATCGCACCGTCGAGTAAGTGTCTAAACCGAGACCCGGTAAAACTGCTCAATGGGACACACTGCTTCGTCTTTCTTATCGCCTCCTCCCACAATGCCCCCCTGTTCCCTCCCGCCGCGTCGTCTGCGCGCGTGCCCATCCCGCCCCCCGCATCCCCTAGGGTCCCACGTTTTGAACCTTCTGGAAAACATTGGCACCGTCGGCAGGGCCTGACCGGCCTTGACAGGCTCGAACGGCGAGAAAAGGCATGGGCCGAGAGGATGGGCCACGAAATGCCTAAAGGTAAAACGCCATCTCCAAGGTTGGTCGACTCCACCAAAGCCGCTCACAAATTCGCAGGGCTGCTCTGGATGCTGGCCCCTCGGGGTGCAGCACCTCTGGGGGGGGGGGGCGAACGCGCGCCCTTTCGGGCGGCCCCAAGGGTCTGCTTCAGGAGAACCCCCATCGCACATCGCCCGAGACCAGCTCAGAGCGAGCGGAGGCGACCAGCTGCAAAAGTGCCACCTTGCCAGTCGCAGACAACGCGGGGCACCGAGTTTGCCAGAGTGGACCATGTCCAAAACATCAGGCCCTTGAATCCTTGCACAGTCAGTCGGCAGCGCAGCTTCGCGCTGCCGTCGTCCACTGTCTTCGAAGTTGGGCCAGGTCTGGATGGTGGAATGCGCAAAGGGACTTCTCGTCGTAGTCGCCGAGACTCCTCTACTGACTTTGGTTGCGCTGCCTTCTGTTCCACGATGAGCTCTCTATATGTTTTTCTGCTTGATGCGCCGCCTCCTCCGCCATCCACCTTGGACCTTTTGTCTCGCCCCTCCTTCCGGCCTCTAGCAAGTGATGCATCGGTCTCCGTCGCTGCCGAGATCAGAGCTTCGTCGCCCCCGCCCCCAGTCACTGCGCCGGAGTCTACTTGCGGCACACCAGCACAATTAGTGCACGACAGACCTGGCAGGCCTGCCAGTCGGCCGGGCGGGGGGGCCATCCTGTGTCAGCGGGCCTGGAACGCCGCGATCATGGTCCTTGCGAATGCATCGCTCGGGCGCTGTCGGACATCGGAGATCGCCGGCGGGCGCGCGAGATTTTGGGCACCTGGGGGCCGGAGATGGAAACCTTGCCGGGGTCCCCGAGGTCGAATCGCAAGCAGCATCGCTCGAACAACCTTCAGCAGTCGGATCGCTGTCGTCGGCCAGTGGTCGCTGCTGCTGCTGCTGCTGCTGCTCATTGTCGAAGCGCGGATGCTACCGGGCTGGGTGCCCCTGCTCCTCCTCCTCCTCCCCCTCCTCCTCCTCCTCTGGACCTTCCGGAGATGTCGGCCCCATAGGAATGCCCTGGGAATGGGGCTCCAGGAGACTGCCTGCATATCCCTGGGCGCCATCGACGCGACGGCCGCATTCTATCGATAACCCCACGTGCGAACACGAAGCGGCGGGCCACTGCTAAACAGCCTCGAACTTATCCCCACCCTAAGATGGGTGAGCAAAAAGCGAGGACAATCTTATAGGGATTCGCCCTCAGAAGCTGAGGGGAACCTTAAGATCGGCATCGAGGTGCGGTGATGTCATACATGAGGATAGGGATGTGTTTCAAACTGGTAAACTGCCCGGACACAGGATGCGCGAGCCGCCGCGAATTCGCGAAGCGCGCATCTGCTGGCGACCAAGTGAGAAGCCTCCTGGCGCAAATCCTGGGGGACGTCTAGATTTCGACCAACAGCGACAGCGCTGGGAGATGCGCCGTCGACGTTCAACGCGCACTCGTTTGCTCCCTGGAGCTGGGCAACGGACCTGGGCCAAGTCCTCGTCTCGAGGCAACGTCGCGTCGGCTATAACGTGATACATTGGCGCGAAGCACTCCCCGTGCATCTCGTGCGCTCTGCCATCCCGATCTGCCAATTTCACTCCGATTCGCTGCCTGTCGGAGCGCCTCAGGGCTCGCATTCGCATGTCGCGGGCGTCGCATCATCGTCGCAACTGTCGCATGCCCTAACATCTTCGTGGAACCTCCGAAAGGCCGCCTGGGATCTCTGGGGTCGTCGCGACATATCTCCTCCTGCGCCGCCCTCGCCCGCGTCTTCGACGCCCCCGTCGTCGCCTTCGCCCCGCCGCCAGGGGCACCACGTGCCGCGGAGATTCCCCGCAAAATCAACCGTGCCAGTTTGGCGGGGATGGACCTGTGTGTACCTGGGTGGGGAGATGCCGAGCCCTGGCAACGCTCTGCCACCCTCGGTCCACACGCGGACGCGCCGCCGCGGCACGGGGGCCTCAACTCACGCACCGCCCCAGGCGACGACGAGACAAACTTCCAGCGCTTGCTCGAAAAAAAACACCTGGGATCGGGCGCTGGAGACCTACCCAGCAAGCGCCCCCAATCCAAATGACGACCTCTGGGTTCATTGGGCGCAGGTTGAAGAGCAAAAAGTGCCGACCCTTGGACATCTGGCATTCATTAATCCGATCGCACTCTCGCGCACACATGACTGCCTCCTGGATATCCCCGAGATGTCTTTCCAAGTCAATCCACCCCCAATCTAGAGCGAGGTGGCGAGGTCCCGGAGGGCAGTTAGCATTGTCACGCGGTGGCGCGATGGCCGCGCAGCAAGATTCCTCCGGTCGGAATTCCCCCGCAAGTCCTGCGCGCCCCTCGGGGCACGGGCGCCCCGGCCGTTGACCTTGTCAAAAGACCCCATGTCCTTCACGCCGCACTGCGGTGCCTCGGGAGCCATTCGAGGCGGCGGGAAAAAGCCCATCGACCTGGGGACCTGGACACTGCGCGCGTAGGCCTCTGCTGCGACTTCGGGCAGTCGGCCCGGCCCGACTCGAACTTTGCCGTCCCGCTACTCAACTGCCGACGTCGCGCCGTCGATCTCCATGTCGGAACTCTGCTGGCCATCGAACTCGCGGCCCACGAGGTCGACCTCGACGTGTCCGCCCCCTTCTGCCTTTCGAACGGGCGCAGGAACGCCGAGCCGCCGCGTGAAGTTCATAGTCCGCCATGTCGAGACTGAGCCCATTAAGCGCCGGCTTGTTGATCAGGGGCGCAGCCTCGCCATCTACCACGTAGCATTAGATCTTCAACTCCTTGCCCGCTCTGGGAGTCAGCTGGCGAATCCGACGCGCGCTCTGTGATCGCCGAACCTTCCCGCCGCAACTCTTGAGCCTGACTGGGCGCGTCGGACTCCCACTCGGAGTCGATGCCCGACTCCTTCGAGCACCTGGCGAGTGTCTCCGCGCCGATGAGTGCACATCCAGTGTCCAAGGCTCCACGCCCTGGCGCGTGGCACGCGCGCACCTCGCCCCCCCGATCCTCCTCGTCGGCCTCCTCGACCTGATCCTGGTCTGCATCCTGCTCACCCTTGCAGCTTTCTCGAGCCAGTCGTCGCAATCGCTGCTCATTCGTCAGTTTCGTGATCGGAGGTGCTTTGCCATACCGAGACCACGACGCCAGCAATAAGTGCACCTCCATCCACGTGTAGTCCTCCACGCCGTCGATGTCCAGCGTGGTTTTGTCCACCATCAGTACCTGCACCGCACCTTGGTGCACAGCTCTTGAATGGCACGGGCGAAATAGACCCACCGGGCCTGCGGTTGCCACTCGAGCCCTGCTGATCTGAGCTCTGATTGCGCTTCCCAGGACAGGTCCGACTGAACTGACCAACTCTCGACACAACAAGCATATGTTTCGGTCCGTGGGCAGCCTGAAATTCAATTTTGACGGCAAGCCACGCTGTAGTTTTTCTCTGGTCATCGCCGTCCTCGTCTCCTTCCACGTCGCCAATGTGTCGATCGTGTCTTTCTCGCTCTGGAATCGCCTCGTGGACGGTGGTCGTGGCCATCTGCTTCGATCGCGCCGTGCGAATGGTCGCCGACATCTCCTTGAAACCTCATTGTCGCTGACTCGCGACCAGCAGCGCCGCCTGGCGTTCTACGCCGAACCTGGCTCCCCTCGGGAGCATAAGCCCCAGAGCCATTGCTGAAAACTCCACTCCTTCCGTCCCCGCACTGGCGAACACGGTGCGAACCCTTCCGGTGTACGCGGACGAAGTCGCGCCGCGCTTGATGGTGAGGCCGGACACGCTCTCGAGGGGGTCACCGATCCTGTCGCTGGCCTCCTTGTCCGGGATGCGTTCATCGAAGGCTCGGAAGAGACGGTCCTCGACATGAGCCTGCTCGAGGTCCGTGAGTTCGCGAGCCATCTCCGCCTCGTCGTCCAAGAAACTCAACACCAGAGGACCGACCGCCTCCCGCAGCAAACCGCGTCGGATCTCCACGGCAAGCTTGGCTCAGATTCGACGCTTTCAGCTCTTTACTCCGTCGCCGCGTCGTTGCCTTTGCCAGACAAACGCTTCCATTCTCCAGCACCACCACCACCACCACCACCTTGGGCCGCTCCTTCGGCCATCGTCCTCGCTTGAAGACTCGACCTGGCTCAAGATCAATGCAAATCCCACGCCACACTATGGTTCCGCCCGGAGCCTGCACGTTGATCCACTCCAACCCTGGGACTGTTTCTCCGCTCGCGTTCGCCTTGGGACGCCAGGTTCTGAACAGTCTATCAAAAGAGATCTGAAAATATCAGCGGGCGGAAGCAAGCAACATGAACCCTCCACCTCATTCACTCACTGCATCAGGCAATATACTGCGATTCGCACATCCTCCCCGTCCTCCTCCTCCTGCTCCTCCTGCTCCTGTTCTTCCTCCTCCTCCTCCTCCTCCTCCTCCTCCTCCTCCTCCTCCTCCTCCTCCTATCCTCCAGGACGACATTCTTCGTGGTGGACCCGCGCCTGTCAACCCAGCAGGCGTTTCCCAAGTCTGCCACCTTGTAGGTAACCGCATCGTGCGCGAAAAGATCCAGATTCAGCACCTCCCGGATGGCTCCAGAAAGTGGACGCACGGGCGCCCAGTCTGATGGACATAAGGAGGGGCCGCGCCCCTAACACCCTGATTGTTTCACACCGTGGGCCCCCGCACTTCTCGACCCCATCTCCAATACTTGCCAGCTTCCCGCCACAAGTCGTTTCTGCTAGTCCAGGAGCATCGGGACCAGCCCGCAGATGCTGGCGAAGCCGTCGCTGCCGACGGCGACGACGGCCAGCGACGACGAAGACGTCGAGAAGGTACGACCCTGAAGAGGGCATGCTCTGATCAAAATTTGCAGCGGCGACGACGGCGTCCACGACGTGGACGGCGACGGCGGCGATGTGAACGGCGACGGCGGCGACCGAAATCCGTTGTAAATCCGGGGCTCATCCTGGCAGGTTTCTCCGGTCCAGGGGCTCGACAAGAACCTCCAGACGCAGCAAATCGGTAGAAACCTTCGAATCTCGTCGACGACTGCTACCACGACGAGGCGGCGGCGGCGGCGACCACATCAAGACAACCAGGCACCCACCGAGCCTGCCACTGAACGACGCAGCCGAAAACCATCGACAACCATCGCCGGCCACGAAGGTCAGTTTCATTATTGGCGTTGTTCCTGATTTCGGGTTCTGGGACCCGTCAACGGGCCTCTGAACATTTAAAAAATGGACCGGGGACCGGGGACGCAAGACTACCCCCAAGGAAGGGGTCGGGACCTCTGCGGCCGCGCACAGAAACAAGTCACAGTGGCGGATGTCTGGGGACGACGGCGGCATGGCATTTTCATCCTTGGCGTTGGGGTCCCCAAAGTCTCGACCTCTTTAAGGCGTTGGCGGGACTGGTTCTAGTGGCCAGAACTGCCGTCTCACGAAAGAAAACCAGCTACGGCAGACCTGGTTCAGCGATTCCAATCCATCTTTGGGTTCCGCTCGTAGCCAGCCGGGGCGGCGAAGACGCAGAAGGACTGAGCGAAGATGGCGGCGAGAACGAGCAGGAGGTCAGGGCCACCCCACCTCCCCCCCCGCCCCCGCTTCTCGGAGGAAGGATAGGTAACACAGCGGATACCTGGCCTCGCCCGGCAGGGAAGGGCGCCCGGCGCCCCTCCACCGGGGTCCTGGCTGTACCCGACTCTTCTCTGGCACTGGCGTCTCGCCCGAGGCAGCCCTCCGACGACGGCCCTGCGGCCGAGACGCGCCCCCCCGAGCCAGCACCCAAGCGTCCAAGAGCCCGCCTTCACGACTGCGTTGCGACGCCCAGATCAGGCGCGGCGTGGGCGACCCGACGCCCGAAATGGGCACGGCAAACATGGGCGGGTGGTAGTGGGCGGTGACCTGAATTGGGGGTGAAGACAAAAAGGGGTCGTTTGGGGCCCCCTTGAAAGGCCCTGCTGGCTCCGAAAGGGGGCCCCTTCAGGGCCCTCTCCTCGCTCCCCAGTCAGGTCACCCCCCACGACCGCCCTCCCAAACATCGGGCGCGGCGTAAGCGACCCCTCGCGGCACGCCCTCCTCCCAACCCTCCTCCCAGCCCTCCTCCCAGCCCTCCTCCCGGCCCTCCTCCCGGCCCTCCTCCCGGACCTCCTCCCGGCCCTCCTCCGTGCCCTCCTCCCTGCCTCCGCCCCCCCCCCTCCCAGCCCTACCCCTGCGCCTCCGCCCTCCTCCCAGCCCTGCCTCTGCCCTGCCGACGACCCGTCGCCCTCGGGGGCCCCCTCGCGGGGCCGCCCGGGCCTCGGAGCGAAGCGAGGGGGGCCCTCCTCGCGCGAGGGGGCGGCCAGGCCAGGCCCGCCCCTGTACGACGCCGTGCCGCGTCTTCACGGCGCGGGCCCGCGGAAGCTCGGACCCCTTCCTGGGGGCGCGCCCTCCGCCACCCCGAGCCGCTCTGTGAGGGGCCTGTGCGTCGTGGTCGTCTGTCGGGGCGAGGAGCGCAGGACGTCCGCCGATCTGAACCGGCTCGAAGCGCAGCCCCTGGGTCTTGACCCCCCTCCCTCCCTGGGCGCACGCTTGCGCCCCAGAGCCGTTCCTGAGGGCCCCAGGGCCCGAACGCGGGCTCCAGGTGCAGATGCCTGCAGGAAAAGCACCCGGCTTGAAAACACCAGATCGGCGGATACCTTGGAAGAGAAAAAGTCTTGGCCAGCGTGGGCCCCGAACGGGGAGTTTCCAGCATCCGGCGTTGTGCAAGCTACGTCGTGCAGTCCACGTGGTGCAACCGATGTGGTGCAATATAGATGGTACCACATATGGTGCGCGATATAGGCGGAACAAAATTTGTGTACAATCTACGTGGCGCAGTCCACCAGCGCTCAGCTTGAAGTTGTCCACCCCGCTGCTCGCGCAAACATCTTACCCACCCGCAACTTGGTTTACAAACCCCATGCGGCGGCGATTGCGATGAGTGCTTGGTTTTGGCTGGTGCGTCTTTGCGGCAGTGCAAGCCCGCGCGTTCCCGCGCGAGCAGCGGCCAGCTAGTTTGGCGCGGCCGACGTGCACGCGGCGGCGCTGACCGCAGCGGGCGCTCCAGTGCGAGTCGGCAACTTGGGCGAGCGCGGTATCATGGCAACGTCGACAAAAGGTAGAAACGATGCTCGTGGTAACGATGCTGGCGGCGATGCTGACAGGGACGACGGCACGGCCAGTGAGGGCGCCGATGCTGATCACGCCGACGACGATGACGGCGTCCTCGCGTCGGTGGTGAAAGTGTTGGGAAGAGTTCGACATGCGCGCGCGGCCGGCGCGAAAGAGTGGCCCATATTATTTGACACGGGTCGTGCCCCCCAACACGCGCGCAAGGGCGTGCAAATGATAACGGCATGCGGCGCCAGAGGCCCGTTTGGCAGATTTCCATGAACATGTGTTTAGTTGTTTTTTTCCTAAGAATTCGCAAGAGCGTGAGCACACGCTGTTTTGTTTGAAAACTGAGGTTACGAAACCATGTGTTGGTTTATATGTGTCTTGGGCACTCGGCTGGGACATGTTACGGGATCTAGGGTGCGCGCTGCGTCCCGGGTTGTGCTAAAGGTTGTCGCGACGGCAAGCGCGCACGGGCGTTCGAACAATTTCGACACGCGCGCGCGAGGCCCGCATGATGGCAGTTAAAGGAAATAATGAAAAATAGCTGGTTTTCCCGAGAATGGGCAAGAATGCGCGCGCAAGCTTTTCTTTGAACATCCGCGTTGCGAAACCCAGCGCTTTTTGGACACTCGATTTTGCAACCCTTACAACACCCAAGGCTTTTGAAGGATTTTGGGGCGCGTGTGCACTTCGCTTGTTTGCACGAGTTTCTTGAATACTGATGATTGTTGATCAGCGAGTGCGCGCGCGTAGTAGATTTCTGCAGAGGATGGCGGGGGGGGCGGATACCGCTCCCCCTGGGATGGTTCAAACTCATATTTAGGATGGACGATGGGGTAGACTCTGATGTACATTGCAATACCAACAGGGGGAGGTAATGATACCCGTGGGAAGGGGGTAGAGCAAATATTCTAGAAACGAGAATCTACGTTGTGCCATAGATCTTGACCAACCTATGTTGTGCAACCTACGTTGTGCAGCATATGCTGTGCAATCTCAACGGTGCACTATATGTGGCGCAGCCACAGTGGTACAACCTCTCTTGTGCAACCTATCAGAAACACTGTATGTGGGCCAGTATGTATGAGGGTGCAACGTATGTTGTGCGATATGTAAAGACTTGCATACATACATACATACATACATACATACATACATACATAAATGCATGCATACAGCACCATACATTGCCGTACCTTCCGTTACGTTTGCCTCTTATTATGTTACATATCGTTTAATGACATTATAACACACAAATTTCAAGTATATTCCATTCCGTAAATATACGGTTCAACCTATGTGGTGCGGTCGATGAGGCGCAACGTATGTGGTGAAATAGGTGTGGTTTGCATTCTTGGCTATGCAATCGATGTGGAGCAATATAGGTGGTGCAACACACGTTGTACAATCCACGTTGTGCAATACATGATGTGCAACCTACGTTGTGCAATGTATGTTGTGCAATTTATGTGGTGCAGTCTATGTGGTGCGGTTTTGTCGGTCGCGGCGACGAGGCGACAAAGTGGCGGCGGCGGCCACATAGCCGCCAGACCGACTGTCAAGCCCAGACGACGGGCGGCGACGAGGCGGCGATGGGGCGACGACGGCGGCCACATGGCCGCCAGACCGACCGTCCGGCACAGTTCCTTAGAACTTAAATACGAACCCCTGAGTGTAAGCACTGTTTGGGGAAAAACTGAACAAACATGAACTTTGGACGGTCCGGGCGGATTCCTTGGAACCGCGCAAACAGCCGCCTCTCTGGCGCGCGGAACGCGCCAGCGGCGGCGCCGGAAGCGCTGCCAGGAAGGCCCAGCGCAGATCCAAGAAATCCGCGTGGACCGTTGAAAGCTTATGTCTAGGCATCTTTCTATTCTTCGACGTCTGGGCAGGATGGGATGCTCACTCTGCACACCTTCCTGGAGACACTCGCTCCACTTTTGCGTCGGAGCTGCGTCGAAGCTCCGTTCGATCTCGAGCCGAACCTGAGCCGAACTTGAACCGAAGTGCGGTCGAGCTGGAGTCGACCAGATCCGAGAGGTGGGGCTCAGGCAGGCCCCCAAAACGAACATCTAAGGCGGAGGTCTGGGTCATGCCGCCCAATGGCCAGATCTGATTGCCGACGCCGGCGGGCGGCGGGCGGCCAGCGACGGCGGCGGCGAAGCCTCGCTCAGTAGCTTCTGGTCGAGCTGGGCCGGCTGGGCTTGCGCGGACGGGCCCCCGTCGGCCGCCGGCGCCGGCCCCTGCGGGGCCGGAGGAGGGAAAGAGACGGAGACGCAGACGCGCGAGTCCGCCGGCCGGCGGGCCGGCAGGCCCCTTCGGTAGACGAGCGCGTTCCACTACTCGCAAAGCAACCGCTCGCAAATGGCCCGGACAGGCTGCGGGGGATCTACGAGAAAGTGCACCGAAGCAGACCTGTGTTCTCAGCAGCCCCGACACGCAACACGCAACACGTAGCGTATTGAGACGGAGCCCAAGACGTAGACCGAGCACGTACGCTTCGAACACGGACGTGTTGACCACGGCACGCGCAATGATTCAAAACGTGCGTACCAGAGCGGCTAAGCACGTGCTTCTTTTTCGGACGTTTGCGGGTCGGCACTGTGCGAGTAGGAGGAGGAGGAGGAGGAGGAGGAGGAGGAGGAGGAGGAGGAGGAGGAGGAGGAGGGAGGAGGAGGAGGAGGAGGAGGAGGAGGAGGAGGAGGAGGTGTGCGAGTAGTGGAACGCGTTGGGCGATCAGGGGCGGCTCTGGCGGGCCGGAGCCCGGGCGGCGGCGCGGCGCAGGCGGGCGGCCCCCCGAGGGGCGGCGCGGGCGGGCAGGCCCCTCAGGGGCGGCGCGGGCGGGCGGGCGGGAGGGAGAGAGGCGGAGCAGGAAGGGCGACTGGAGGGGAGTGAGGGAGGAGGGAGGAGCAGAGGAGAGGAGGTGATGGAGGGGGAGAGAGGGACAAGGAAGGACGAGGGAGGAGGAGGGTTGGGTGGCTGGGGGGGCGCGGGCGGGCCCGTGCAAGAGGACCCCTGTCCTACCCCGAGACCTGGGCGTCGCAACGGAAAGGCACCCGCTGCTGACTCTTGGGAGCGGCGACGTGGTTAGCGTGTCGCGCCGAAGGGCGGTGGGCCGGAACCGGAGGAGCAACACGCTCAGCCAAAGTTTCTCACCGTAGTCCGAGAGATAGTGCCCACACCATCACTTTCAACAGCTTCCTTAGGTTAAGATTCCGCCTCCTCTCTCGCAACCTGGTGCGAGGGCATGCTGGGAGGAAGCGCTTCAAACGTAGGCTGGAGAAAGGAGGACACCTATGCTCTCTTGTCGGTGTCCTCATCCTGCTTCTCCCTTCTCCTCCCTCCGACAGCTCTTTCTCGTTATCTTCGCTTATGCATTTCCTTCTTGCGACCACGCGCGCGCTTAGGTTCTAGCGCGGGATATGGCAACGCCAGAACACTATGGCTGCAGGTCGTGACTTGTTCTGGGGGGTACTCCTGCTTTGGGATATACCACTCCCTCGTCCATGCCTATTCCCTCATCCTTCCCTTGCTTTCCTCGTCCTCCACTCGCACATGGGGGCTGCATTGGTTGTTCTCACGGGAACTCTCGAGGCCTCTTGGAGGGGGGACCTGAGGGATTTCTGGGGACGCTGATGAAGGCTTGGGGAACGTCTGGGAGGGGAGCTTGCACAGTACGATGGAAGCCTCTTTCGGGCTTTGGGGCCACAATTGCGCCTCATGCGCGATGGGCTCCGTATGAAATCCAATTGACGGACCTAATGAACACGCACTCCCAATGTGGAGCCGGAGAGGATCTTGTCTCCAAATGTTGGCTGCCAAGGTGCCGAGCGGATGACATCGATCTCGCTTCATCACCACGCAGCTGCTCCTTGTAAGTTGCGCTCCCTCGCGGGCGCCGCGACTATATTTGCATCGTTGAGCTCGGAGAAGGCTGGTGGGGGGGATCGCCCGGTGACCCACAATACATACATACATACATACATACATACATACATACATACAGACATACAGACATACAGACATACAGACATACAGACATACAGACATACAGACATACAGACATACAGAAATGCAGACATACAGGCATACAGACATACAGACATACATACATACAGACATACATACATACAGACATACAGACATACATACAGACAAACGGACATACATGCATACATGCATACATACATACATACATACGTGCACATACATACATACACATACACACATACACACACACATACATACATACATACATACATGCATACATACATACATACATACATACATATATATATATATATATATGCATACATACATACATACATGTATGCATGCATGCATGCATACATACATACATACATACATATCTACATACATACATACACAATCACATACATACATACATGCATACATACATACATACATACACGACCACACACACATACATGCATATATACATACATACATACATGCATACACGCATGCATGCATACATGCATACATACATGCATACACATGTACACACAAACCTACATCCATACGTACATGCCTACATCCATACATCCATCCAAACATCCATCAAACAATACATACATACATACATTCAGTCATTCATTCATTCATTCATTCATACAGACATACATACATACATACATACATACAGGCATGTACACACACATGCATACATGCATACACATACAAATCTACCTACATACATACGTGTACACACCTACCTATATATATGTATGTATGTATGCATGTATGTATGTACGTATGCATATATATATATATATATATATATATATATATGTTGTGATGGTCGCGCTCCTGCGTGGGGGGGGCGGAACGTTCTGGAGCACATGGTGAGTGGGAGACGAGGGGAGGGAGGAGGAGGAGGAGGAGGAGGAGGAGGAGGAGGTCGAGGAGAGGGAGGAGGAGGAGGAGGAGGAGGAGGAGGAGGAGGAGGAGGAGGAGGAGGAGGAGGAGAAGGAGGAGGAGGGGGAGGGGGAGGGGGAGGAGGTGTCTGCAAGATGGAGCCGTCGGGCGCAGCCGTCGCCGCGCGTGCCGAGCGGGCTCGCGCCCCCCCCCGCGCACGTGGAAGTCGGCTTTTGGGGGTTCTCCTGGAAGCGGGGGCTCTCAGCGAGTGCCCTCTGGCCGTGCCAGGGGAGGAGGGGGGGAGACTCGCCATCGCTCGGACGTCCATTCCCTGTGTTTTGTTGGGTTTCGTGCGTGGCTTTTTCGCCAAATGATCAAGGATGCTCCTTAATAATCCCCGCAGGGGGTAGGAGGGGGGGGGGAGCGGCGGAGAGGCCCTCTTTGTCGAGCCCTCGGGGCCCCTCGGGAAGTCCTCTGGCACGGCGCGGGGAGTTGTCCATATCCACCGCCTTGGAACCGACGTCCTGCTGCCCCAGCGGGCGGCGGATGTGGATATGCTTTTGCCCCCGGGAGCCCGAATGTGTCCGTGTCCGCCGCATGCCGCGGTCCCCGAAAACGGATCCTCCAGGCGGTGGTCGTGTACACGTATCAATTCCTGCCGCGGATCTGTGGCCCTCATGGGGCGTCCTTGGCGAGGGCTGGCAAGGAACTCTGCCAAGAGTGGTCCAACGGGGGGTCTCAGGTGTGGTCATGAGGCGCACGGGGTCTGTCCTGTCGACCTGCCGTGCGCCGCCATCTTCGCACGTCTTGGGCGGGCTCGCGGCCCCGTCGCGCGTGGAGAGTGTCGTGGGGGTCCTGCTGGAGGTCTTGGGCTCTCTTGAAACGTGGAGGAGGAGGACGAGGAGGAGGAGAACCAACTTGTACGCAAGACTCCTCAACGAGATTACAATAAGCCCTCCCTCCAAGTTCCCCCTTTACAAATCCCTACAGATATTCATTTTCACTGAAAGAAGTGCCCCGTTGGAAGTCAACCGCTTAAACATCGGAAACTGTACCAAAACGGCACTGCCGGGAATTATCCTGCCAGAATACCATTTCTAGGATGTCAACATCGCAAATCAACGTGACTGCTGCGCCATCACATTCTGGCATCGTGCCAAAACATCATGTCTGGGACGTCAGCCATCATAATCATTGAAATCGCTGCAAGAGTGTAATACGAACGTGCGCGGTGCTAAAGCGAGAACCACATTTTGAAAACCACCCGCCTTCCAGCATTGAAACTCTTGCGAAATTTAAACACGAACGTGCGCAGCGCCAAGGCGAGATATACATTCATGAGCCTGTTGCAAATCTGCAGCGTTAGGATCATAAGCGGTGAAGAAGTCTCAGGCGAAACGCCCGGCCCGCCTTTTCGACCAGCCTCGGGGTGCGACAGACAATAATTACTCATATGGAGGGAATTGCGGAAGAGGATGATGATGATGAGGAGGAGGAGGAGGATGAGGAGGAGGAGAGAGGGAGAGCAGGAGGAGAAGGAGGAGGAAGAAGAGGAGGAGGAGGAGGAGAAAGGAAGAGCGATGTACGGTTGGCTGGAGGCCCTCTTGGAGAGCACCTGGACCCCTCGTGGAAGCCTCTGGGGCCCTCGTGTAGCGGTCTTGACGGTCTGCAGGGGGAGCCTCCCGGCCTCTCTTGGGGTCTTCATGGGGCCTTATGGCGCTGTCAGGGGCGCCTCTAGAGAGGCCAAATCTGTTTCTCTGATTCGCATCCTCCTTCTCCTCCTCCTCCTCCTCCTCCTCCTCCTCCTCCTCCTCCTCCTCCTCCTCCTCCTCCTCCTCCTCCCCCCGCTCTGTGTCTGCACCTGTTCCGCCTCATCTGTGTCGTCTTTCCCCTCCTCCCGAGGCGCCTTCCCCATCACCTTCTTCGCCGCGGGTCAACGCCGTCGTCTCCAGGGTCGGCGGCACTGGCCGTAAGGCCTTCCCTATCTACTTCTCTGGAGAATGTCGTGGGCAGTCTGGTCTGGGGGCTTCTTAGGTGGCCTTGCTGCCGTCATGGGCCGTCTCGAGGCCCTCTTGAGCATTCCTGGGGGGCCTCATTGGAGGTCTTGGACAGCTCTTAGACGCTGTCTGGGGACTTGTTGGGAAGTCCTGAGGCCCGTTTGGGCCGCCTTGGACCTCTCCTTGGCCGTCTTGACACGCTCTGGGGGGTCCTTGCGCATTCACTGCGCGATATGAGAAGACCATAGAGACGTGTTGGGGTGTCCCGAACCTCAAAAGGCGAGAATGCCAAAGGCATGAGAAAACCATGCGGAAACAACTGGCTGTTGCTTCTTGTGGCCCTCTCGGGCTCCCTCCTGGTGGCCTTG